AGAACTTGTGCAGGGGAAAAATAGCTACTAGTTATAAAGCAGAATGTAATTTCTTGACAGTACATCATCAGAACTACTAAAGCCAAATCCTCAGCAAAGCTCACAGTGCTCTGAAAACCTCTGGAAACCAGTCACACTACATAAAACCAATCCTTACAATTATGCATAAACATCTGTTTATGGTAAACTTGTAGAGAGAAAAATATTTAATGCTAATCTCCTTTAAACTCTCAACGCTTCGAAATCTACCGGATTAGGGATGATTGCTAAAGACAACGAATGAAAGCCAAGACTCAGAATCTTCCTTTAGATACTCCTCTGCTTTGTAATGTGAAGTGTTGTCCAAAATTTCCTAAACAGAAGTGCTATTCATAATTCAACATCATGCATGCCAGTGAACCATCATGCAAATAACAGAATAAAAATAAATTATATTTTGCCACTACAATTATTCATCCAGAAGCAATTGTTCTGCACAGTTTGAGGAACAGTGTTTCCCAAGAAGACATGACTTTTATTTGAGCACTCTGGTTGCCACCATAAAATAAGCTAATGTAGTAGTAATTATACAGTGTATATTTTAATAGCAGTATATTCCCTGCTATCTGCAACAGGCATGCAATGCTAAAGAAGTATAATTTTGTACTGGTATGTGCAGAAGTTTTTCATTCTAAACTAGAATAAAATAACAGCTAATTCCATACAAATATTTATATTCTTAACTTAGTTGGCTGATTGAGCAAAATTTGCTTGCAATATAAAGTATAATCTTTGCCCAGAAAGTCTCTTACAATCTGCAGGGTTTACGAATCACCCGGTCACATTATCAGTTACATGGTTACGAAAATACCACTTAAGGGAGAAAAAAAAATCAATTTAAAGCCTTGCAATGTAGCCAAAGCCATCCCAGGACATCACACAACATTCAAAGCTCAGGCTTGTTTAACTTTTGTGTCTCCTTGGAACACTGTTCACCAATGGCAGCTACCCCAGCCTTCCACTTCATATACTAAGCAAAACCACATTGTTATACATAAAGTAGCTTGGCAAAGGAAAGAAAGGGCCCTCTCATAACTGTAAATGCAATCCCCTAAGATACAGCACTGACCATGACACAGCACATTTTGAAAAAAAACAACATACTAATAAATTGATGACACAAAGAAAGTCCTGTACAATCAGCTGTAGAAAAAGTCTTTGCATAAACAACCTTACAGTAGACATTTGTTCCCTACTCAAAAACGACTTTACTGTATTTCACAATACTTTTTCTTTTACTAGCTGTCTTACAAAGTCTGCTATATATCATGGTTTGACAGGGCTGCCCATGTAAAAGAATTAAACACTTACTAAAAGTTGAACTTTAGAGAAAAGACATTAGAGTTAAAAAAGAAAAAAGCTCAACAGACTACTTTCAACTTGGGATGAATTATTTTCTTAATGAAATTTTGTGACTTATTGAAGTTGACATCAGTTGTAAGTTCAAAATTACTATGGAGGTCAGACAGGAAACACAAATATTTCACTACACCTTAACACTTAGTCCAATGTATTATGAAATATGAAAGTATGCGGCACATGCTAGAAACCTACAATATGCTCAGGTTTTGTACACATTACACTGAATTTAAGACAGTTAAATAATATACAAAAGGATCCCAATTTATTTCATAGGTTGAAAAAGTACAAAATATAGGCTGATATTTGTCAAAATATAGGCTGATATTTCAGCCGTCTCTTTTTAATCAGTTGACTGAAATCAAGTTTATGTTTATACAAATAATCTGAACACTCATGTAAATTATTACAGCTTTGCCATCTGCTGTCATCTACTTACCACTCTCAGCTGACTATTGATATTTTTTTAAATAACCTGACATAAAAGATAAAGGTTTGGACCCTAAAGTATGCTGAAATAAATACCTACACTAAGTACGCAAAACTCTCAAAAAACAGCAGCTACATAAAGTCACAGAGTTACATTTTGACTAAAAAACCTAAGAGTTTCAAAAATCTTCAGAAATCATCTTGGGGACAAACAGCAAAGAGAGTGATGCTGTCAGGCACCACCTTACAGCTGCTGTCACACAGATACCATATTATTATCTACCATATTATTATACAAGCCCAAAATTGGTCCCTTGAGTACCTGAAATGGCTTGCAGACAAGTAATGCTGCATATACTACAGCTTGGAAATACTTCCTACATAGAAACATCCCACCCAGAGGCTGCAGTACAGAAGTGACTGAAGAATTGGGAGTATATACCCACAACACTAAAGCCTGTTCTAACAACACACTGCTGCTAGAAATACAGCTTCTACATGTCATCTCAACCTTACCAAAGCACAGTCAGCTGAATAAAGCATTTTAGAGAACCTTTATTGTGCCAAGATTTAAGGACCTGTAACAAAATGCCCTTAAACACAGCCCTTCTAATCCATTTGAGTGTGTTCCACAATAAAAACACCCCACCTTTATGGGCCTATCAAGTTGTATACTGTAAGAATACACACACAGTAACCACTGAAAATGACATCAGTCTCTCTTTTCTTACAGGTCTTGATCACGCAGTTATACAAAATAACCACATACTGTTTTGCTGCTGTTCTTTTAAGACACCTCTCTTCTCCCAAGAATAATTCCAAAGTGGAAAAACCTTTCATCACACACCTGTACCTCTCTGTAATTTTTACTAGAGCTTCAGTAACACATCTCCTGAGAAAACAGAAGTGATTGTTGAAGAGATTGTGGCTCGGTAACTCAGCAAGAAATTGAATAATGACTTTGAATTGCTTCAGTCTTTCACTAGATTAACAAAGTTTCTGCAGCCCAGCTGCAGCAAGCTGGCAGGAATAAATTCTCCATACACTGCAGAGTATCTGACTGTTTCTAAGCTGGAGGCAAAGCCTGTCATTTTACAACTCAGTACTTGCTTCTTTCGTGTCCTCTAACAGAGGTACTAGTGTAAGGCCAAATAAGAATGGAACTCCCTGGAGATGCCTGCTGTGAGACACGTCATTGCATTTCTTCAAGAAATTTCAAAACAATAGCTTAAGGGCAACTTTTTCCATTAGAAATTGAGTTATTTTGAAAGAGTCAATATTTATAATAAAGGCCACAGTACAACAGACGAATTGAATTACTGATTTTTCAATCCAAATGTACGATACTTGAAGTTCAAAATGCATTCCAAAATTTCACATTCATTGTCTGAAAAGACAAACAAAACTCAAGTTTGCTTGCAGGTTATATAAAGTAAATACATCTCTGTGTTAATATAATGTGGACTTTCAGCCACATAAATACAACTATAACAGGACAGACAAGTCTTAATATTTTTACTTTCCATACATACTATAAATCTAAATAAAATGTAGTTACAAAGTAGTTAACATAAGTAAGAACATAATCCTGACTGTATTGTCTATACCTTCTCCTATCTTTATCATATTCCCTACCTGAATCGTCCAGTTTCTTTAGAACTTTCCAACAGCTGAATAACACTATTCTTATGCCACTTGTGGCAGCTTTTCTCCTGCACAATGACTACCTACTGATTTTAAAATCACCTGCCTTGTACTACTGAAAACTTCCAGCTTCCTGAAACATTTCCTGAACTGCTTCTCCACCAAAATCATAACTGCATTTATGCATCTTGTATTTCAGTTACTGACCATTTGGTAACATGTATACAGGTTTTATAAGTTTGTTCTACTAAACCAAGGAATCTGGCACATGACAGGATTCCTGTCTAGCCTAACAGACAATCCAATTCACACAACAACAGCATTAATTCTACAAACCTAAGCAATAGGAGAAATTTTGTGGCAATCACAGATAAGCTTCATGGAAGACAAGAGAGGAGCTTGGCTTTTAACAAAAGAAAAAGGCACCTGCAACTTAAGCAAGAACCTTCTGTATGGGTAATTTAGAACTCAGAATTTGGGAACATGGCCTTCCTTGCATACTACTGATAAGAACAGACAGAAGTTCATCACTGGCCTAAATAAGGTTCATTATGGTTCTCTAAATAAGGATGGATTTAAAAATACTTTTAATCATTGAAGACTTACTTCTTGCTAGAACAGTGGCAACACTCAGAGCCATAAGTAAATCCCAATAGTTGTACTGTTTGTAGAAGCACAGAGGATGTCACATTAATTGCTCTACTTTTGATACAAAGCATTTGAGACAAAGATGGAAGGAGCTGCTACACCAAAATTACCTCAGTATTTTTAATGTACATTTAATCCTTCAAAATGGCACACAAACACAAAAAGCACCACCTGTGCCTTCACAGAGATTGCATCAACAATGAGCACTGGCATCATCTGGAAGTCTGTGTTTTTGAAACACAGGCAACATTTAGACATAAAGAACAAATATTAAGATACAATAAAGCTACCACAACTACAAGATGTAGAAGAGTTTTACACAGATACTGGCACAGATTAGTGCACTGCAGGAAAAACTTTTGATATTTCATTGAATCCATGTGACACTACAAATATCCTAAAAGCTGATAAACTTTGCCTGACTCTCAGAAACATCCCAGAACTACTCCAGGAAATTCATTACCAGAAAAGGCAATGGATCCATAAACAGGGTTTTAAGAATCCAAGAGAGGCTCATGAAATTTTCTTCACAGCTGAGTGAGAAAAGGTTACTGTCCTCCTCTTTCAGAAACCAGAAATAAAGTAAAATGACCAAATATTACACTTTCTCTATCATCTCAAAAAGACATACGCACAGAAATTCACTTGAACAATGCTAAAATCAAAATTAAATGCTCCTTAAAGATTCCTTTCTGTAAACAGTGGTGCACATCACAATGAGAGCATGGCTTTCTACAGCAAAGACACCACCAGACACTGCTATGACTATTAAGAATATCAATACCATAACAGAGTCATATTATATCGCAACCATTACATGTGAAAATAAGACCTGGTACACTTCAGTGGCTCACTTGTATTGTAGGGATAAAACACCTTACCTTGAAAAGACTGTTTGGCTCTGTCCACTAGTTCTTCAATTGGATAACTTGCGAGATCCCCTCTGGCATGCTTAGTTTTACAGTAGGTACAAGCATTGAGACACCTGTTTAGAAGAAGACAATACTCAGTTTCCAGCCCAGAAAGTCTTTATATGCACTGTTGTATTTATTAAGTACATCTGAAAAAATGAGCATTGATATCTATGACCAGAAAATAGTAGCATTCCATTCTAAAATCAATGAAGTAGTTCCAAAAGTGCTTTGCCCTCCCAGCTTCTTAAAGTGTCTTTCACATCTGTATAAAAGGTGAAAAAATGATCAGTGGAAACCACACACAAACCCCAATAATTTACATATTTTTAGAAGGCTCTAATAGAATTAATAATTGCTCATTATGAGAGATGAATCTTCAGGCTTCCAATCCCACAACTACATAAAAAACCAACCTGAACAAGAAAATAAGGGAAAAACCAGTATGTATTCTTGAAAAGACACTTCAGTTCATTTTTCCTTCTTTCCTTTGGGGTGTATAAACAAAACAAATAACATAATGAAGAGAGAATCATCAACTAGAAAACAGCTTGGCACAAAAGACTGGAGAACTAATGAAAACCCCTATATCAAAATGAACAAATAATGAGAATGCTTTTAATTCACCTGCCAATGTAGTAAAGCCAGACTAATTCAAAGTACAAAGATGGAAAGATCAAAACAAACAAAAACTACCACTCATTCTAAGTTTTTCTTAGATTAGCCTTTTGTTCCTGGTACTGCCATGAATGCTAATAAGCAGAACATTATAAGAAGCTTGTTGTGCTTTTTTTTCCCCTTCCCCACTTTTAAGTTGATATTGCTCTACAGTTTATCTATGTTAAAGCATTTAAACACCCACAAAGCGCAAAAACCTAATTATAAATATTTCTCTTGTTCATGGTTACTAGAATACCATTAATTCTGTCCATTTTCACAATAAAAGGCCACAACTTCATAGAATCATTAAGGCTGCAAAAGACCTCCACGATCATCAAATCCAAACTTTGACCGAACACCACTGTATCAACTAAACCATAGCTCTAAGTGCCATGTACAGTCACTTCTTGAACACTTCCAGGAATGGTGACTCTTCTACTTCCCTGGGAATCCTGTTCCAATGCCAGAGCACCCTTCCTATGGAGAAATTCTTCCTGATGTCCATCCAACCTGTGCTTTCCCTGGTGCAGCTTGAGGCCATTTTCTGTCACTAACTGCCTGGGAGAAGATGTCAACCCCCACCTGGCCACAACTTTCTTTCAGGTAGTTGTAGAGTGTCATAAGGTCTCCCCCGAGCCTCCTTTTCTCCAGACTAAACAAGTCAGCCTCTCCTGATCAAGACTTGTGCTCCAGACCCTTATGCAGCTCTTCTGCCCTTCTCTGGAAGGGGCATGCTCCAGCCCTCAATGTCTCTTCTAGTGAGGAGCCCAAAACTGAACACAGGATTTGAGGTGAGGCCTCACCAGTGCCAAGTACAGGGAGACAATCACTGCCATAGTCCTGCTGGCCACACTATTGCTGACACAAGCCAGCATGTCATTGGCCTTCTTGGACAACTGGGCACACTGATGGTTCATGTTTTAGCCTCTGCTGACCAGCACCCACTGGTCCTTTTCCAATGGGCAGCTTTCCAGAGCCACTCAATCCCAAGCCTGTAGTGTTTCATGGGGTTATTATGACCCAAGTGCAGGACCTGGCACTTTGCCTTATTGAATCTCATAGAGTTGGCCCCAACCAGTCTGTCCAGATCCCTCTGTGGAGCCTTTCTACTCTCTAGCAGATCAGCACTTCTGCCCAACTTAGTGCCATCCACAAACTTACTGAGGGTATATTTGATCCCCTCATCCAGATCATCAATAAAGACATTAAACAGGACAAGTAAAATGTTTGGGTGCCAGAAAAGGCAAACACTAAGAACAGGAGTATTACTATAGAACTCTCAAAACAGTACTGAAAAGGTAAAGATAGTGCCAGCTGTGTTCTGATCAAGTCATCAGCTACAACACTGTTTACTACTTAAGATATACCTTGTCTTCTGTTACAATATCTGGCATCTCCTGACCAGCTGATTACTGCTTTGCAAACTCTAAAGGTTTCCCTTCACAAAGACTGCCCTCACATGTTAGTTCTACTTGTTTGCACAAGCAGTGGATCAGGAAGAGCAGAACACTGCACAGATCATATACTCAGGTGCCCTCCTGCCCCTGCACATCACCTTGGCCCTGAGACCTTCTCCATTCAACAGAATCTTACTTTCTGCCAGAGAACATCTAGATAATTTGTGATTCTCTCTGCTAGACTGGATATGTGTGTCATGATTCGTACATATCAGACTCAAACATCAGACTGCTTAAGTACAGCAGTCAGACTGTACTGTTAACTAAAAATGTATCCAAAAAAGACTGCCAGTAAAATATACAACTGGATATTAACAATAGAAAAATATAAAATCCCTAAATATGAACCTTTACAACCTGCTCCAAATAACTGATTCAGTCCCACCCAAACACAACTTAGTCATCAGATGTATCTCACCTTTCTTCTGCAAATCAAAAGCCTTTCACTGTACAAGACATTGTACAAGACTTGAAGCATGTTTAAAAAGCAGCATTTGAAACCAGGAAAGTGTAAGCAGATAATAGATTTATGCTTTCCCTGTGTAACCTACGTAGCAAACTAAAATGTTTTATTCTGGGTCACTGGTATCTAAAGCATGCCACAAACAGCTTTCCCTCAAAGCCCATGGGGCTTTCTCTCCATGCTCCCCATACATGATTCTTTTAAACTCCTTCAGTTCTTCCAAACTTGCAAAGCACATCTCCCTCTTTCTATTTTCTTTATTTTCTTATTGGTTTGGTTGGGGGTTTTTTAAGCACAACTCTCTGTTCAAACCCAGCACTTCATTTCTAAGCAGGCTAAACCAGCCTTCTTCCACACAGCTACAGAAAAATAGCATTACTGATCCGTGATGCATATTGCCATGTCCTAAAGAGCAAGACTAAGCTTGCCTTTGGCAGCCTGACTTGGTGTGCCAGTGGGGGCTAACAGCCAGGCTCCCTCCCCCTCAGTGGGGCAGGGGCAGCGAACAGGAAGAAGGGTAACAAGGGAGCTCACTGGTCTAGACACAGCTGAGGAGATCTTTGTATTAATTTGCTTTCTCCAAAGAAAATAACATTACCAGCTGCTCTGTCAATCTTCTCAGGTCATCCACCAAGAAGAGGTTTAACTAGCAACAATCGTGCCCCATGAACACAAGGTTACTTTAACACTGACTCTTTCACCCAGAGAAAAGAATTCTGTCAGCCATCAGTAACAAAGGGATAGAATCATAGAATCATAGAATCAACCGGGTTGGAAGAGACCTCAAAGATCATCAAGTCCAACCCTACCGTGGTTACTAGACCATGGCACTAAGTGCCACATCGAGTCTCATCTTGAAAACCTCCAGGGATGGTGAATTCACCACCTCCCCGGGGAGCCCATTGATGCATCTTGATGCATCAAGATTTTATTTCTTGAATTAAGTAAATTTATTAGACTCAAATTTAAACTGGGATTTGGGGAAAAAAACAAAAATCAACAACAACAGCTTTTATCATTTATTTAAATTTGCAGATTACAAGTTTGGTGTAAAAGTAAGTTTCAACAAAAACTTAATTACAAATTTTTGTCAGCTTGAACTATAACCTTGCATGAAAACAATGCTTTTTGCAGGCCTTCAAGTGTGTCAGTTTATCATAAGATTGATACAAACTATAACTTTTGTAAGTTTTTTGAAACAGAGTTCTAAATTGATTGCTGTGTAACAGATCTAAACAGATCCAAAATCTAAACTGGTATTGATGTACAGTAAAAAGGCTCATTTATGCTATATACATAGAATTTTTCTGCTTCTTATCACATATAGCACATTTATAAAACAGAGCATGTTAACTCTTCCTCTCTTCTCCATATAATTTATGCACAAATAATATGTATTTCTTACTGTGTATTTTGCTTTGTGTTTGGATAGCAGTATTTGAAAAGCTCTACAGTAAGAGTACTGAACAGTAGCAGTATTAAATACTAACCAATAGTGCTGAATACTGAAATTATTGATCTCCAAACCTAGAGAATAACTTTCACATCTCCAACCAATGCTCCTTTCCTAGAAGACTGGGCAACCTGAAAATATATGCTAACAGCAGTTATCCTTTGGTACCTTAATAAACTTCATCACAAAGAGAGACTGGAAATCTGGAACAAGAAGCATGAAGAAAGAAGGGGAAGGTATTTTCAATATATTTACATTATTATTATTATATTATTT